GAGAGAGGGGGGGGAGAGAGAGAGAGGGGTGGGGCGCGGGCGCTGGCCCCTTTTAAGTTAGGTCACAGTTCTTTGCCGTCTGCTAGCAGACGACAAAGAGCCTAGCTAGTGGGGTGGGGCCGGGGGGAAACGGCTGCTAGGTCGCCCTTGTTTGTGGGCCACCCACCCTCTTTGCCGTCTGCTAGTAGACGACAAAGCTTCTATGCCGTCAGCTAGCAGACGGTAAAGAGCAGGCTGACAGCAAACACCCTCTTTGTCGTCCGCTCTTTCTTTGCCGTCAGCTTTCCGTAAGCTGATGGCAAAGACCTTCTTTGCCGCCAGACGACAAAGAGCTGGCTGACGGCAAAGATCCTGATTCCTGTAGTGTTGTGTCAATGCTACTTTTTATTGTTGTTGTTGCATACATGTTGCTATTGTCAATTTTTGGTATTGTATAAGGCTGGTTGGGAGTATCATCCACTAGTATCATACCTCCGTAATGCATAATATCATATAGTATCATGTAGTATTTTATTATTGTCATATATGACATATAGTAACATAGCATTTATTATGATATGGTATAATGATATGATACTCAATTTTTTTTTCTTCATTTAGGGGCTGTTTGGTTTATGCCCCCAACTCACCCTACCAAAATATTGGTCACGCCAAATCCTTTGTATGGCGTTTGCTTTGTTGCCAAATTTTTGGCTGCCAACGAGTCCCTTGTTCCTTCCTTCACAAATTCTTGCCAAAATTTTGGCCAACCCTGGGCGGTGGAATCCCACGCCAAATAATTGGCAAGCCAATATTGGCAGGGCATCTACGGGCAAGAACCAAACACACCCTTAATTCTACGACACTTCATCAAAATTGCCTAGTTGGCATGCATGATACTAGCTATAATATTCTCATTACGACCAGCCTAAATGATGCGACCGATGAATGTTGTTGTTGAATGCTGATGTGAGAACGGTGAATGGTAATGTGCTCATATTCAATAAATGTTTTTTCAGGTGCATATTCAATAAATGTTAACAATTCATCAAACAGTTTTTGTCTTATAATAGTTCACACATTTTTTTTGGGGGGGGAAAACATTCATTAATCAAGTGGTAACAGTTTTACAATCATCTGTAATAATAGTGCTAATCTCCGGTGGTACATTTGCTAGCCAACACGCTGCGCGATGCTGTACACGTCCTATCGCAGCCATGGCATGTCCAGCTTTGTTCTTTTTTTTTTTTGGAACTAGCTTTGTTCTGCAATCGGCTAATCTTACGGACTTCAGTTTGTCGCTCCTTAAGCAGGTCAGAGATATCTCTTACTTGATGCATGTTCCTGGAACGATCAGATTCCCCAGCCTTAAGCAGTGCGATGGTCTCCGCACAATCAGACATTTTAACACACAACTCGATTCACAATCTTAAACTAGAATCTCAGAATAGAAATCGACGGCAGATTCCGCGGGAAGCAGATTCCCGGAGAATTTTACGGAATCTTGACCTTCAACCCACCACGCACGTACGTACGGTGGATCTAGTACGTGGATTCGAGTTCGAGACCTGCACGGATCGACGGGGCGCCCCTCCACCACCGCCTACTTAATGCGCCTAATCTAATCTTGTCACGCTCCAATCCGGTTAGTCGCCTCGCTCCCCCTGAAACCACCCTCGACCAAAACTCTCGGCAGCCGAATTGATGTCGATGGCGGCAGCAGCGAAGTCGTCGTTTTTGCTGGACGTGAAGCCATGGGGCGACGAAACCGACATGGGCAAGCTGGAGGAAGCCGTACGAAACGTCAACATGGAAGGCTTGACCTGGGGTGCCTGTACGTTGATTTCTCTGACTGATACGATCTCTTCCTAGAAACAACAACAGCTCTGAGTTAGGCGTCTTAAATATTTCAGCACCATATATCCATTTACTTATCTATGTACTGTATATGCCAATTTTGATTGATCGGGTTCTAAATCGACTATCTCTCGACATGCAGCGAGGCTGGCCCCGGTCGAATACGGGGTGAAGAAGCTGCAGATAATGGTGACCCCCGTCGACGACCTCGTCTGCGTCCACGGCCTCATCGAAGACCACCTCTGTGCTTCGCCGATAGACGAGTACGTCCAGAGCTGCGACGTGAGCTTCGACCCAATCTGTAAGCAATTTTCCTGCCTAGCTGGTTTGATCAAGTGGAAGATTATCTCCCACGTATACGTTCCTGCTTTAGTTTGTCCACGCTTTTGTTTGGAACTAATGTCTGCGTAAACTTGCATAGACGTTGCAGGAAATTTCTCGTCACGTGCTGCTGGCGATGGCGGAGAAGATTAGTATCTAGTTGGGTTTTCTTCAGGGACCCTGGTTAGTTTTTCTTAGTTTTGTGGTTACCGGGTACTTAAAGAGTCTTGACTCGTTGCAATACATTGGAAGCAGTCATGAGTTTTATTGCTGGAGAATGTAACTGAAGCGTGATCGCTCTGGTTTGCCCATGCCAAGATTTGCAACACTTCACTTTATTGCCGTTGAATATGGGAGTCCTTTAGACATATGTTACTAGTCCATGTTACTACCTCTATAGTAAAAAATAACATATGTGTGGTAACGTGTAATATCTTATTTATTAGGCTATAGACTCATTTTGTTTTGACATGTGTGATGTTACTCATACTACTAGTAACTAGCTATGTTGCCACTTTCCTATTTTGCTTCATTTATTGTTTGCCACATCATCTATTTTATCTAAATATGTGTGATGTTACTATCTATGTTACTTTCATTGTGGGTAGTCTCAGAGCCGTCTATGATTTAGTTCAGTACAATAAATAAATTTATTATCCAATCTTTGGGACAACTTCATTTTTCAGAAAAGGGAAGCTTTTATCAACTCATAATGAAGCATCAAGAGAAAACAAAACACTATGAGAGGCATCGAATAGTTAGAGTGCACATAACTAACACCAACGCGCGCGCACAGAACTCGCATAGAAGACAAATGCCTAGGGAGATGAAAAATAAAATGTAAAGAAAAAAAAGATCAGCACCGATCCTTGTCGAGCAATTGCAGCCACTTCAATTCGAATAATATGTTGCCTAAGTGCAATGACCTATATTTATTCAATACACATCATGTACATATAGGAGGTGATCTCACAAAATTCCTATGAAAGATATCACAAACCAAACACATGAACGAAACCATCAAATCCCACTTTTCGACTCAGAACCAAACACAAAAATGAAATTGCTTGAATGGAACCATGACATACCATTGCATTTAGTTCCCAAACCAAGCACACCCTAGACTTCTTAAGTTGAAACTTGTTTGTTTTTTGCCTCGCTCTGAACTAAGGGCATCTCCAAGATGGACCCGCAAACTGCACACATCCGCTCGGACTACGGTGTCCGGACTGTGAAAGTCATCCAATGCGGTCCTGTATCGTTCCGCGGGGCGGTCCGGACGAGTTTTCTCCTACAAATTTGAGAAAAAGTGGGGGAGTTTTGCGGGAGTCCGGACACTAGAAATGTAGGACTCCGACACCCCCGGCCCACCCAATCCCTCCTCCCGGTCCCATTTCCTTCCACCTCGCCTCTTCTCCCCCTTACCTTGCATCCGCACCCTTCACCTCCGCTGCCGCTGTTGTACGTCTCCCGCCGCCATAGAGGCACTGTCGGACATCCGCAACCAGCACCGACGCGCCCGCTCGACGGAGCTGTCCACCCTGGAGCCGTTTGTACCCAGGTACACTCTGACCCCTGTCGGCGACCTCCATGGCAAACACCACTCCTGGCAAGTGTTTAGTCAAATGCCATTGAGCTTATTTTTAAATATTGTCTGTCATTTTTTAGAGTACGAAGGATGGTGAGCTACTCGACCATTGAGGATGAGTTGTTGTGCGATGCATGGCTGGTCGTATCTGCGGATTTCGTAGGCAGGAGCAGGGGGGCCTTTTGGGAACAAGTGCATGAAAAGTTTCACGCGCGAAAGCACATTGCGCTCTACGACATGTGCATCATTCAACCACGCAACGTGAGGTCGTTGTCGTATTGCTGGCACGCTATCCAGATCAGCGTCACCAAGTTTTGCGACGTGACTCGTCAGCTCGAGGCAAGATGGTCATTGCACGCGGCAGAGGACGAGATCGTAAGTTTTACTTCCTCTTGCTCAACTTGTTAATTGATTTATTTACTCAATGCTGGTCTATACATTATATGTAGCCCGCACGCGCTGTCGTTGTGTACCACAGGACAGAGGGACGGCCATTTACTATCACACACTGTTGGATGAAGCTGAAGTGAGAGTATGTGTGAAATGACATGATCCGTTCATGAAAAACTTGTTGGACATGCTGGATCTAGTCGAATTAGAGACATTGTTGTACTAGACTTAATTTGTATGGTACGTATGGATGATTTATGTTATTTTTTTATCTGAACTTTGATGAATATGGGTTGGTTTGCATGAATTTCGACCGAGTAGTTAAAATGCGGTTTGAAATGTATACAGTTACGGCTGGAGGAGGCCTCCCGCATCCGTATCCGTAGACTGAACGAGGGAGAAAATTTACGTGTTGCCGTTGGAGATGGCATAAACGTGGCTTTGCATCGCAGCTGGAACGGCAAACAAAAGCATTGCTTTCATTTCGAAGAAAAAATAAAAGCATTGCTTTCTTGTGAGGACAACGTACCCTTACCAATTAGTAATGCAATACAAATTGGTACACAGTTAATTAACAGCTTATGCAGTACTACACTGTAAGAAAAAACAGCTTATGCTGTAGTATATAGGATATCATTACTAGGACGTGGCCAGTACTAACAAAACGTCAGCAAATCCATAGCTGACAAGGCCACTAACATACTAGTGGTACTACGTAGAAGGGCCAAAGAATAGAGAGAACAGAGAGGATGAGAAAGTGTTATACAGCTTAGTAGTTACTGTTACTCTATAAGCTAACTGTATTTCCAAGCAACCAACCAGCTTAGCTAGCCAGTAGTAGTACGTACACTGAGCTGAGGTCCGCCTAGTTGTGCGAGGGCGGGTGCCTGCGCACGTTGTGGTAATCGGCGGTGAAGGGCAACCGGCCGTCGAATGGATTCTTGGCAGTCGAGGAAAACTTTCTGGTCCTGAAACGGTTAGAGTCTGTACTCTCCTGCTTCCTCATGATCACCCTCTGCTTTAGACCCTTTGCAGGGGCCATTCCCATCCAGGCCAGCTTGGCCTGAGCACTATCTCCTTGGTCGCCGGTGGCCGCCATTGTTGGTTCTGAAAAAAGAGAGCGGCGGTGACAATGTCAGGGCCGAACATGCCTCTCGCTACCCAGTGTGGAATGAACACAGAAGTATAGAACCTTGGTGTCGGCGGTGAAGACTTACCTCTGCGTGCAGCGGCGGCGAAGGGGCCGAGCGCGGCGAGGAGGAGGACGCAGAGCAGGAGCAGCAGGCTCGCGCAGTTCATGGTAATAGTAACCGCACTACCGAACTCTGAAATCTGACGACTCGAGGCTGAAATGGAGAAAGCAAGGATGAAATGACGGGGCTATTTTTATAGCTAAGCTAAGCTAAGCCTCGCTAGGGGAAGGCGAGATCGGAGTTGCGGCGTGCACACGATTGGTCAAAGCTGATTGCACTGCTAGGCCTGGTTCTTTGTAGTAGTTCCAGGCGGTACGAACTTGGTTTTCTATAGGGCGCGGGCGAAAGTCTGTCCCTTGTCAAGTTGTCATTTGTCAAGCTGCGGCGTCCCAACAACATGTCGTGAACCGCGGACGCTCTCCGAGGGAGGAGGGTGTTTTCTTTCTCTCTTTTTCTTCTCCGGATTCAGCAATCAAGGCGACGGCATGCGAGGTGGCCGGTCGCAGAGCCCCATGCATGCGTGCGTGCGTGCGTGCGTGCCGGAGCTTGGAGCTTGGTCATGGTTCCGATGGCGATGGAGTATAATACGGCCGATGCCCCGAGGAACACGTAACAGGAAAACCGTTGATTAATCACTCTCTCTGTGTGCGGTGTGGCGGACGTTGAGTCGTTGATGCGTACAGGAGTAGTGGTGACTAGCACTCTGTTGAAGGATCGCAGTACGGTGCATCAACACGTAGTTTACGCACGATGGTTTGGTATACAGGGGAGCTGGGAGCTTTGGTAGCCGGTCCTAATCATGTGAAACGATTGATTCCAAGAACGATTAAGCAGTGATGCTGCTGTTATTTCTCTTGTAGCGAGGAGAGCTCGTGATCCTGGTCTGAACTCCGAACCCTGGGTCGTGGAGAATCGGTGCCACTGTACTACTAGATCCTTGCGCTGGGCGTGATGAGACAGACAGTCAACTCGGTCTTTCGGAAGGGATCCCAGCTTCCAAGTGTACGGTCAGCTTGGCTTGCGTGATGGGGCAGGCACCGTTTGCCGTCTCCTCTTTCCACGCGCGGCACCGCTGAGCGGATCCTGGGTCGGTCATGTGCCCACACATCGCGCGCTTCTCCACCCGTCGTCCACCGTCAAATGCTCATATCGGTGCCACATTCCGTTCTCTTTGACTGTACGTGAGCATACGCGCACAACTGCTTTTCATATACTCCCTCCGTTCGAAATTACTTGTCTCGAAAATGGATGTATCTAGAACTAAAATACGTTTAGATACATTCATTTTTGCGACAACTAATTCCGAACGAAAGGAGTACGTGAAACAAAGGAACCGGCCATATGTCATGTGACTGAAAATGCAATTTGGCTCAGTAGAATCCTGTGAGTAGTCGAATTCCCTACACTCATAGGATAGATCATGGGGTAGCCTGCCACCCTAAGATAGATCATGAGGTAGCCTGCCACTCTAAGATAGACCCATAGGCCTTCTCTGGCGAGCGCTTATTTCTTCTCTCTGGTGGCTTCTTCCTTCTTTCAAAAATCGACAGACCCAAATTATTATTATTTTCAAACAAGTCAAAAGATTTGTCATTTTCATTGATTAAGAGGGAAGTTTTAACACGAACCCGCAAGGCGGGGGAATGGAGTCTACTCTCGCGGCATTACATTACACAGGTGTCTAGCGCCTGCAAGCGCTCAAATACGAGCCTCCTCCTTTATCCTAGCAGTGACCATGGTCACCGTGGTAGCGACATTCCTAAAAACTCTTGCATTGCGCTCATTCTAGAGTTCCCAGAAAACAAGTATGAGCATGGAGGCCAGAGCCTTCCTCGGGAGCCCCCTATCTAGGATAGTCTCGAACCACCATTCTTTTACAGAAATTTCGTAACGCCAGCCCGCAATGATAGCACTGTTTACCCCGATCCATGAAGCCACATTAGCCCAAACGCGTTGGGAAAATCTGTTTTGGAATAGGAGATGCGGTGCAGATTCAGTAACTTGCTTGCATAAAGGGAAAAGCCCACAATTGGGCCAGCCCCGACGCTGCGGCCTGTCCGCTGTCCAAACACGATTCTGGATGACGAGCCAAGCAAAAAACTTGCACTTGGGAGGAGCCCAAGCTTTCCAAACGGACATGTTCATGTTGCTCCTGAGATGGCCCTCGAACTGCGCCATGTAGGCCGAAGAAGCGGAATACTCGCCACTTGTAGTGAGCTTCCGTAGGATAGTATTACGGCCACCCGCAACAAAGGTTGATCCTAGACACCCTTTCCCAAAGGAGGGCGAACTCCTGGATGTGCCCCAAGGATACGTCGTGCTGGGTGTTTATTTGGCTGACCTAAAAATTGTTCAAGAGTGCGTTTTGGACTGTGTACGTCTTTTTCTTAGAGATGTCATAGAGAGCGGGTGCAATGTCTTTCAGCCTGATCCCATCCAGCCAAGAGGAGTTCCAGAAGCTCGCGCTGCAACCGTCTCCGATGTGAACCATGGTGGCAGCCGCGAAAATGTCTCTGTCCTTGTCAATACATGGTGTTCCAGAGCCTAGCCAAAGCTTAGGGGGATCTGCCCATTCATACCAAAGCCAATGAAGACGCGAGGCGGTTGCAAATTTCTCAAGGTTGAGCACTCCTAGCCCACCATAGATCCTTGGCTTACACACAAGTTCCCAATTAACTTTGCATTTTCCTCGCGTGACCTTGTCACAACCTGCCCACAGATATGCGCTTCTCAAACTATCAATCTTCTTCCTCACCTCCACCGGTAAATCAAGGGGCATCACATGGTAGATTGCAATGGCCGTGAGCACCGCCTTGATGAGGACAATACGACCAGGGGTGGCCACGTGCTTGGCCGCCCATGGCGGGAGCTTGCCGGCGACCTTGTCCTCTAAATATTGGAAATGTATCCTTTTGAGTCTTCTAACTAAGAGGGGCAGCCCCAAATATTGCACTGGGAAGCCGGAGCGAACTGCTGGAAAGTCATGTAGAACATCCTGAAGGTCGATGCCCTCGCAACAGATAGGCGCAAAGAGACTCTTTGCACAATTGGTGACCAAGCCGGTGACCTCCCCAAAAGAGGCCAATGTCGACGCCAAGAATTGAATATCACTTTTAGTGGGTGCAACGAAGATGGCAGCATCATCGGCGTACAAGGATGCACGGACCTGTCTACCTCTGAGCGGATGCAAGCTCCCTTGGGTCGTGGCTTTGGCAAGTATGTGGTGTAGGGGGTCAATAGCAAGGACAAAGAGGAGTGGCGAGAGCGGGTCCCCTTGCCGAAGGCCTTGTCCATGTCTGATCAGGTCGACGGGAATGCCGTTAAGTAGCACACGGGAGGAGGTTGTGGAGAGGAGCGTCGAAACCCAATCACGGAAGCGGCTTGGGAAGCCCAGGTGTCGAAGCAAATCCATCAAATAGTCCCATCTGACTGAATTGAAGGCCTTTTTGATATCAAGCTTGAAAAGGAGGGTAGGGGATTCCGTGCGGTGACAGCGTGTGGCCAAGTTTCTGACATACATAAAATTGTCGTGGATGCTTCTCTTTTTGATGAAAGCACTTTGTGCATTGGAGACTAGGTTGGGCATGTGAGGGGCTAGGCGAGAGGCCATCATTTTAGCGATGATTTTGGCGACCGCATGAATGAGGCTAACTGGTCTGAAATCTGAAATGTCCTCGACGCCGTCTTTTTTCGGGATAAGGGCGATGTTTGCTGAGTTGAGCCAGGTGAAGCTGGAGGCGTGCAGGTTGGAGAAGCCATTGACAACAACCATCAGATCCTGCTTGATGATGTCCCAACATTCCTTGAAATAAAAACCGGTGAAGCCATCCGGTCCCGGTGCCTTGTCACTTGGTAGGGAGAAAATAGCCGCTTTAGTTTCCTCTTAAGTGAATGGTAGGTCTAGATCCGCAAGGTCACATGGCTGGGTTAGAATGGCCTCCCAGTTGAAATCTTTTGACCGTGCCTGCCCCTTACGAATGACCGTGAAGAAGTGTTCATGGACAATGGCTTTCTTGTCGTCATGATTGGTAACCCATCTTTGGTTGTGCCGGAGACACAACCAAATGAGACGCAAATGAGATTTCAGGGTGCTGACTAGTAGCTATTGTGTGAAATAAAGGCTGAAACTATGTATCTTTGCTTCTATATTGATCATGGTATGCCTTCTTTTTACCATGTTATGCCTACCTTCCGATAATGATCTGAGATAATCAGCAAAATTGAAAACAAAAAAATGACCAGCCTGCGTTTAAAGGTGTTGTAGGATATTTAGAAGTGGTGTCTTTTATTTAACGTGCAGTAGCTGTAAAAAGGCATTGTGGTTTCTGTCAAATGGAATCGGTGGGAGAGTTTTCTTTTTCAAAAAGGAAACAGTAATCACGGTATGCCTATCTCAGATGTATCCTTGGGAAAAAAAGATCTAACAGCGCGCGCCGTTCTAAACCTGATGGTTTTTGGCTGATGGCGATATTCGAATGCTTAAGAGTTTTTAATTGAAAATGTGTGGTCACAGCTCCGGTAGCATTTGCAAAGATAACAATCAAAGTGTAACTCGATAAACCGCCTAATAATGTCAAATACAAATACGAACATGCATGTGCTGAGCGTTGCGGACCGGAAGAAGCATTGGTGCAGACGGGTCCGTCGGCCCCCGACCCACGTCGTGGCGGTGGCGCCGTACGTACGTACGTACGTGCCGCGAGAGACACAGCTGCGTGCGTGCGCGACACAACTCCACGTACACCATGCAAAAAAAAAAACTCCACGTACGTACGGGTACGACTAGGAGAGGAGGAGGAGGAGGAGGCACCGGCCCGACCAACTGGGTAGAGTCCGGCGCCGCTCCCATACTCCCACGCCGGCAGGCCCAGCGGACCCCGGGGGTTGGTAATGCTGGCATGGGAACGCCGCAACACGTTGCACGGCCTCGCCGAGGCCAAACCTCTGGGTGAACGTGGCGCCACCGACCGAGCACATGGTTCCGCTCGGCCACCGCCAAACGGCTTTGGGTTTGGGGGACACGAGGCCGCGATCCAGACTTGGTTCCTTCTCCCCGCGGCGGTGCGGCCGCCTTGCTGGCCTGCGCCGGCTGATTCTCCTCCGAGT